TAATCCCAGTACTTGGAGACAAAGGCAGGTGGATCTCTGAGTTCGAGGCCAGCCTGGTCTACAGGTCGAATTCTAGGACAGCAAGGGCTACACAGAGGGACCCTGTCTCAAAGGGGGAAAATGTTGCTTTTGTCAGGGAATTTTATCATAGCCACAAGACAGAGACTGAGACAGAGGAAGTGGTAGAAGCTTCCCTGAAGGAACAGCACTAAGAGAAGACAGAGGGAAGAGCACAGGAAGTCTTCTTATTGTGCCAGGCTTCACCTCTGGATGAAGTTTTAGCAGGGTCATTTCAGTCCTGGTGTTGAAGTGCTTCAGCTCATGTGTCTGAGAGCTTGGTGAATGGGTGGCAGATAGGCGAGGCTCCCACATGTGTCTGACAGGACAGACACATCTTGCTATCTCAGTAGGAAGTTGGGTTAAGCGATGAGGAATATATGCCAGATAACTTGAATCTTGGAAACTGAGCTGAGCATAGCTCAGTTGGTAGCACATCTCCCACTCAACTGGCCTGAACTACTATGTAGACCAGGCTGGCCTCAAACTCACAGAGACCCACCTGTCTCTGTTTCCTATTAATATGCTTAGTTCAGTCAGCTTTCTTATAAAACTCTGAACCACAACCCCACAGTGGGTGGGCCCTCCCACATCAATCAACAACAATACAATTCCCTACAGATGTGGCAATAGGCTAATCAAATCTGGGCGTTCCCTCTTTCCAGATGGTTCTAGGTTATACCAAGTTGACAATAAACACTAAGGAGGATAACCTCTGTCACCTGCTTTGAATCCACAGGGCCTCTTCTCTCTTCCCTGGAGCCTGTAGAGAGACGGATGTGGGTCCTGGGAGGAGTGAGCTGAGGTCTAGTGTAAGGTGGACCCAGCGTTCAGAAGCATGTGCTTCCTTCCTGAACTGAACTCTATCTTCTCTGCCCTAAAAAGAGAGCTCAGGACACTCGTCACTCCCTGGCTACATTATGACAGTTGCTAAGTACAGTCCTGGAGGGAGCTTGACATCCACCTTTAATTTGACTCATTCTGGAATAAACTATAAAGATGTCATCCTAAACACTTTGTTGTGGGTCTTCTCCCTTACCATGTATTATTTAAATCTTTATTTCATATTTGTGTGTGTGTATCCCATGGCCCACATTTAGGAGTTGGTTCTCTCCCTAACTGTGTGGGATCCTGGGATTAAACTCAGGTAGTCAGTCACAATTGGCAGCAAGTACACTTATAGAATGTCAACGACCTCAGATCTGCATGAATTCATATAGTAAGGTTTAAAATTAGTTGGCTATTTGCTTACATGTTCCTAAGGCTTCCACATTCTCCTGGGTTCCGAAAGGGTCTCCAAGAGGGCTTTGTTGCCTTCAGGCGATGGTGTGTCTTGGAAACCATAGATTTCTCCTAACAGAAGAAACATCGCTGGAAAACACAAAGCAACAATGTTTTAAGGTGGTTTCTTTGGGCAATGCTAAGGGCTTATTTGGAAGAGAAGACTGGGGCTTAGTTTAACACTTGTTATTTGGGAAGTAGTTTTTTCTTTTGTCCGGTTTGTCCTTTATTCACTGGAGACTTTTTAGGGTTAGGAAAACAAAAGCACTGAATTACGGCTTTGAGCCTCTAGGACACTCATATTTTGGCTACCACATTATTTATGTTTCTTCTCTCAGCTGTGAGCTTCCTGCCTCAGAAGTAGTCCAAACCGTCCCTGCTCCACAAACGCATTCCACGGACTCCACCGCCCTCCCTTCTGCTTTGTCTATCAAGTTCAGGGTTGCTTGTTGGCCCTGCAGCCAATAAGCTTGCAAAGAAGCAGGGGGGTGGTGGGGTGGGGGCATCTCACACCTGGAATCCTAGCCCTTGGGAGGGGGAGGAGAGGAGGAGGATCCAGAGTTCAAAGTCATTCTCTGCTACACAGTGGGCTTGAAAGCCGGCTACGTGAGCCCACGTCGCAAGAGAACTCCAAAACCCAAGAAAACAAAGCCAACCCTAACCCAAGCCTCAGACTAGGAAGATGATCACCGTGGGTAAAGTGCTGACTGTGTAAGGATGTACACCCAAGTTTGGACCCCTGTACCCATGTTAAAAAAAAAAAAAGAAAGAAAAGAAAGAAAAAGAAAAAAAAAAAAGAAAAGTCAGGTACTTTGGTTTGTGTCTGTAACTCCAGGACTGGTAGAACTCTGGTGCTCATGGGCCAGACAGCCAAATCTGAGAGTTTCTGGACTGACCCTCTGAACCTGTAAGCCAGCCCCAGTTCTTTGAACGGCTTTCTGGATTCTCATCTTATGGGTGTACAACAGTTTGCTATATCCTGTTGTAATAAATATTATAGACCATAAACCTTGTGCAAAACTAGAAGGGCCAGGCATCAGGGAGCATAAACCGAAGTGACTGTCATATTGTATAAGTTCATTCATAAAGTGTCCTTTAAATTCATTTTTTAATTATATGGTACATAAAGGCAACCATTGCTGTAGATCTGTAGTTTTTCCTCTCTCTCTCTCTCTCTCTCTCTCTCTCTCTCTCTCTCTCTCTCCCTCCTTCCCTCCCTCCCTCTCTCCCTCCCTCCCTCTCTCCCTCTGTCCCTTCCCCCTCCCCCCCTCACATCAAGGTGGAGGGGCACAAGTCCATAATGGACTCAGCTGTGGTAATTCAGTTGGATATTACAGTGTGGTGTAGGGTGTAGTGCTGGAGCAAAGTGGAGGAGATTCACTGAGGGTCCCAGAGAGGAGAATGAAATGGGCTTTAGAGCTTTTGTGTGTCCCAAACTGGCAGTGATTTTCTTCTTCTTTTTTTTTCTTTCTATTTTTTTTTTCCATTGGATACTAAGATAGCTAGGCACTGTAGTAGCATAACTGGCCCCAGACACGGCCCACAGGTCAGATAATTGGGCACATTGTGTACTAAACTACTGAGCTTATCTTTGCTTTATGGCACCGAACTTCAAAAATCGGCTTTTTTTTTTTTTGGAAAAGACTCTGAGGTACCCTCAAGGCAATTTCCTTCATTATCATAATAGTATCAGTAGCAGAATCAAATCTTATGTAGCTGGCTTTCTAAAACGAATACAAAATTGCTTCATGGGCTATCCGGGTGGTACGTAATGGCTTCAATTGTCCTCGTGGGAGGACAAATGGATAAGGCCCTAATTTTGCCATTGTGGATAGAGTTAAAAGAAATAAAGTGAAAATTGTTTAATACTTACAGGTAAAGTTGAGGGATTAAAAAGGGGGAGGGGGGCTCCAGGAGGGTTTGATAAAAAGAAACCTCATGAATGTCAGCTGTCACCTTGTTTTAGTCTGTGCTGTCTCAGTCATTAATTTGTCATTGTGGTCTCTGTAGAAAAGTCTGCACAGCAGGGCTGGTGAATTTTAGCTATGCTTGTCCCTTAAAAAAATACTTACCAGAGGATGGAGGAGAGAAAGGAGACAAGGCCCTCTAAATTGACAGGAGCAAGACTCATGTGAACTCACACAGACTGAGGGAGCATGTACAGAGCCGGCCCAGGGCCTACACAGGTGTGCACCAGGTCCTCTGTACATGCATCATGGCTTCCGGTTTGGCGTTTTTATGGAATTCCTGAGTGTGTGAATAAGCGGGTCTCTGGTTCTTATGCCTTCTCTTGGGCTCTTTCCCTCCTGTTTGCCTTGTCTAGCTCCAGTGTGTTAGTTTTTATTGTATCTCATTATAATTTATTATTCCTCAGAAGCTTGTTTGTTCTCTAATGAGAGACAACACTCGTGTCTCTCCTGAAGGCCAGCATAATCAAGTGCATGTGTGCTGTTCACCTGTCTTAGATGTAGTTATAGGAAACACATACTGTGATAGTTTTCCTTCTCCTAGGTTATGAATGCAAGCATCATTGTGGCTTTATAATTTCTTGGTTTTGTTCTGTGATGTTTCCTGGAGTCAGTACAATGCCCCAACCTGGTAAGAGACCGATCTGTCTCTCACTTCCCACTTCACAGGGTTCTACGGTTCAGAAAGGTCTTTGTTTAATAATTGCCAACAAGAGTTTGCGTTGCTTTGACAACCTCTTGCTCCTTTGTTGTTGTTGAGAACCACAGAATGATAATCGTCTTTCTGCATGTCCCTGTGCACGTGTGTGAAACGTTTGCAAAGTCGTATAGTTGGTGTAGGATACTGACACCAAGGCTTTGTCCATGCCGGGAGAGTTTGCTACACAAGAGGACATTGCACCTGTAGCCCTGTTTTTAACCCAAGTACATTCTTGCGCATTCCACGAACACTAGAAGATGTTAATACTTTTGGTACTGATATCCATTAGATCAGGACCTGCTAAGACAAAGGGCTATTTCTGAACTATTTCACATGGTTCTTACTATTATATTTAGTGGGCACATTGCATTTTTATTAGAAGGAGATTAAAAAAGACAAGATAATTACAGCACTTGCTTAACGACATGCACGTTGTGGCTGAAAGAAATCATAGCCATTGGAGAACTTATTTTCCTAACACAATTTCTATCAGCTGGTGGTTCTGTATGCTGAGGTTGAAACCTCTCCTGAGGGCACCCGCTCCCCGAGGCCTCATGGGGGAGATGCAGCTGTGGTGCTCAGGGTCAGTGGGGGCCTTCTGAATTCTGAGGCTGGTTGGTGATGGTCCAGTTGTCTTTGGCTGTCATTAGTGGTTTTACTGACGAGTCCTCTGAGGCCACCGGGTTATTCCATGAAATTCTCCTCTTAGTGACCTTTCTCACATTCCTTAAAAAACAAAACAAAAAAAGACTGTTTTTTTATGTACATCTTTCATAAAGACCATAGGGCCTGGAGAATTCGCAGAGCTGGGTATAGATAATGTCTATTTTAGTGGTTCTTCTTATCGATATTGCAAAATGCCTGACAAAAGCAACTGATAAAGTTACTAGTACCCACACGGTAGCCCTCAACTATCTACAACTTCAGCTGTAGGGAAGCCAATATCTTCTGTTTTTTTCAGGCATCAGGCATACGCAGGTGGTGCACAGGCATCCATGCGGGTAAAACACCCATACACGTAAAAACAAAAACAAACGCAAAAAGGAAAGCCGGGATGAATTGGCCAGGCGGGGGTCCTTAGTTTTGCTTCAGCAGTGGCTTCAGTGGAGCCAAGAACTGTTACCTTCTGGGAGGGCCCCAATTTCCTGCAAATGTCTGCCATTCCATTTCTCCCCTTACACATTCCTTTAAGTCGCTTTCGTGACCTGAGAAAGATTTCGACATTGCGAAAAACGGCAAAATGAATCACTAGGAAGGAGGGAATCTTTTACTTTTAAGTAAGTGATCTCTCTGTGAAGAAATGAGGTGAGTGAGGCGTCTGTCATCATCATATTTGGAAGAACAGTGAAGCTTGCTCTGCAGGGTGACAGCCTGTTTAACACTTTCAATGCTTTGTCTTTTGGGGAAAAGGACCATTGCCCAGAGGTCCCCATTACCCGGGAACAGCTGGACCACTACCGGAATGTGGCTGAAAATGTTCAAAGTGAGCTTGCAGCAACGCTGGTCAAATTTGAATGCGCTCAGTCCGAGGTGAGACGCTGTTCACATTCGCCACTCAGAGGTGCATTTTTGTAGCTTTTTATAGCACGAAACAGGATGTCAAGGATTAGAAACAGGAAAGTGGGAACGGGATTTCAATCCATCGACAAAGTTTACACTTACTCTCTTGTGTGCTTGGCCGCTCCAACTCTGCCGCTGGCTTTTAGAATTTAGAGAAAGTCTGTATAACCCGGGGAGACCTGAGGACGTGGGGTTAAAGTCAAATGGGCCTTGGGGAAAGTCTTCCCTTTATGTGGATTGCTTGTATTCTAGAGCTCACGAGAAGGATTTTTGAATTCTCTTCATGTGGAAGTTCTGATTGGCCGGGCAAATTCCATGCTTGAGTAGCGTAGTGTAGTTTCTGAGCCCCTCTGGATTCATTCTGCTCGAAGGGCAGGGGTTGTGAGGGGTCTAGCCTGACCTGTGAGGCAACTAGAAGTTAACAAACTGGTAACATGTCTGTGACCCTTGTCATGCACACTCCCAGTTCCAAAGAACCATGCATGTGTGAAGATGGTCTCACAGAAGAGACCCAGCATTCACAAATGCAAACACCCTCCAGCATTTTGATGCTACCAGAGCCACGGAAGTCCAAGCCTTCCGCTTGCATAATTTCCCTTTGCCACCATATTTCCCCCAGGAATCTGAATATCTTTTTTTTTTTTTTTTAACCACCTATAATTGTGGTCTAGAAGGCCAAAGGGAGGAATGCCGTGATATCCTGAACATCTGGATTTGCTTGAGAAACAGTTGTGGCCATGAAATCACAAACACTGTGGCTTGGAGGGTCCCCAAGTCATTGTAAATCACTACTAAATGCAGCAACCTTGATAGAGTAAGTGGGTTCCCATTGTAAAATATTTTATTGCTTTTTGTAATCTCCACCACAAATGTTTCCCGAGCGGCATGTAATCAACTTAAGATGTTGCTCATTTTTTATTTTATTTTTGTCTGTGTACTCGACATTGAATTCAAGTTCTCTCACACACTATATAAAATTACTCTTTCATGAGGTTATAACCTAGCCTACAGCTGACTTTTGAAAAAGATAAACTATGATTGTTAGTTAGGAAATTATTCAGGCATAATTTCCAACTTGGTAATGCAGATCCAAATTCAAGAAAGAGAAAATGAAACGAGGAATAAAACGGCGAAATTTTAAATTACAGTATTGGCTCTTTTGTTAGACACTTCCAGTGACACGTTGTTAAATCCCTTTGTTTCCTCCCCACCCCCAACCTCTCTGCACTTTAGCTTCGAGAACTCCGTTCCAAGATGCTTTCTAAAGAAGTTTGCTGTCAGGAGCTGAAGGCAGAAATGGAGAGCTATAAAGAAAACAGCGCCAGAAAATCATCTCTCCTTGTCTCTTTGAGGGGCAGAATCCAGGAGCTCCAAGAAGAATCAGCAGCGTTTTCTGCTTCTAAAATCAGAGCAGAGGCCTCTGCTCACGCCATGATGAAGGAGAACCAGGAACTGATGAAGAAAGTTCTAGAACTGGATGAGAAATTACAGTAAGGAAGTTGGAAACGTTTCCCAGTTTGTTAGTGGCTATACTAGCTCTAGATCTCAGCCTTCATCTTGAGTGATCTTTGAATGTTTTATATACAAGACTTTCCATTTAAACTCAAGCTGAAGAAACAATTATAGACCTCAAATATCCCTGTAGTCTTGGAAATTTTACTCAAGTCCGAGTGTCATTAAGTATTTCAACAAACACAGTGTTGTCTTATGCAAGTTTAGAACCTTGACAGTGGGTGCAAAAGCCTATTGCAGGTGTAGTTGTGAGATTTTCCTTAAGTAGACGTTTAACTCCAGAGTGAAAGAGAAACCCACAGAAAGAGTGTATTTAGAGGCTAGCTAAAAAATTCAAGGAAGCAAGACTACTTTCAAAAATCCCTCCTTAGGCTTTATTGGCATTTTATACAGAGAACTCAAGACAATTGTTCTGCCTCCACCTCTTGAGTGTTAGGATTACAGTCATGTTGTACCATGACCAGATTTCAATATCACTGTTAGTGAAGTAGTTCATACTATTTTGATGTATTTCCATCTTAAACAAATGAACCAATACCTCCAGCTCCTGGGCTCTTCCACCTATAGAAAAACTTCTTTTTTTGTTTGTTTGCTTGATTTTAAGACAGGCTGTCTGTCTTAGTTAGGGTTTTACTGCTGTGAAGGGACACCGTGACCAAGACAACTCTTTTAAAGGACACCATTTAATTGGGGCTGACTTACGAGTTCAGAGGTTTAATCCATTATCATCAAGATGGGACCATGGCAGTGTCCAAACAGATGTGGGGCTGGAGGAGCTAAAAGTTCTACATCTTCATCCAAAGGTAGACAGGAGGAGACTGACTTCCAGGCAGCTAGGAGGAGGGTCTCTCAAAGCCCATCCCTGCAATCACACACTTCCTCCAACAAGGCCACACCTACTCCAACAAGGCCACACCTCCTAATAGTGCCACTCCCTGGTCCAAGTCTATTCAAACCACCACACTCCCGGTGTAGCCTAGGCTGCTGTTGAGCTTCCGTTCTCCCTTTTCTTCCTGAGAGCTTGGATTACTGGGGTTATTAGATATTTTGTGAACCCATCTTCAGTTGCTTTGTAAGATCACCAGTAATGAGACAGGGCTGGTTGGTCTCCACCACCTCAGTTACAGCTGATCTATGAATCACTTTCTTCTCCTGGCTTCTAGAACATTATGCACAACTAGTTTATCTCCTACATTTCTCTTTTTGTGTTTTTTTCTTTTCTTCTTGGCTTCCAAATATTGAGATGTCTCATACCTCCATCTTATTTAGCTTTCTTATTTCTGTACTATTTAATCTCTTGTCTTCTAAGTGTTGGTGATACCACGATTCCATATCCAGCTTGAATCTCTTCTTACAACACAAGGCACACACATCTGGACATCTTCATGTAGAAGCCCAGCAGATATTTTAAACCTTATGTGCCCTGAGGTTCCCACCATATTTTTCTGTACTCATTTGATTTGGTGATAATTTCATTCTTCTAGCTGCCAGGTGAAATATATTGATATCATCCAGGGTTCGCCTTTTCTTTCTTATCCTTCTCCATTTAGCAAATGCAACCACAGCTATTTTCAAATAAAACTAAATATTAACCATTTCTCATTTGTTACCCCCAATAACACTATCATCTTTCGCCTGGACTTATTGTAGTAAGTATATACTACTTCAGGACCCCACTCCTGGTACCAGTTTATTCTCTGAGTAATTTAAGGTGCTCTTAAAGTATAATAGATCAGCTGATTTAGCCCATGTAAATTTATTACTCATAGTTCTGGAGGCTGGAGAGTTCAAGATTAAGGTGCTGCTGATTCATTTCCTAGTAGGGACTCTCTTCTGGTTAGAAAATGAACTTCTTCTTGTTTTCTCCCATGGTAGAGAGAGAAAGAGACAGCCTCTTTCTTTTTTTCTTACTGTTTTTATTCACAGGAATTCACATTCATGATTTAATAATTACCACTGGGAAGCCTCAAATACTCATATTATCTTAACAGAGGCTCCTGATTCAACATATGGGGACACAGATACACCCAGCTCACAAATGATTTTCTTTCTTCTGTCAATACACACCCCCAGCCAGAGTGATTCTGTTAAAGCACAAACTAGATCGTGTCAGTCCTCAGCTCAGAGTCCCCCAATGATTTCTTTTCTTACTTAGGGTAAAGATCTAGTGTGTTTACAGCCCAAAAGGCCCATACTAACCTGCTGGTGTTACTTTTCTCTTCTTCATTCTTCTGTCCCATCTTTTCTTTGCTGCTTCTTGAACTGGACAGACATAGTCCTACCTCAGGGCCTTTGCAACTGCTCATCCCTTTGTCTTCAAGGCTCTTCCCCAGATAGCATGGCTACATCTGATCTAGGCACTCACTCATTGAGCCCTCCCATGAGTGTCATATATAAAAACTTACCCCTTTTATATTTGATCATTTTCTTCCATTCTTTACACAATAATACTGTATATTTTACATGGATTAATATTTGGATCAGTCTGTCTTTCCAACTAGAACATACGCTTCACAGAACAAGGATTTTTCTCTCTTGTTTACCACTGTAGCTTTCACATCCTTGATAGGATCCAGCGCATAATTGTGTTTATTAAGTATCTACTAGATAAATGCAAAATACAAATGACATATACTTATTGTAAAAACACCTTTACAATACAGAAAAATTAAGAATTTAGAAGAAATTAAAAATTACTCAAAAATCTTTGTTTATAGAAAAATCTTAATAAACATTTCTTGAATAGGCTCCCAGACAATTTTATCCAAATAGCACTATGTAATATATTACTTTTACTAGTACATTGTTGCTGTTTTAAGAACTCACTCAGTTTATCACCTTAATGGCCATATGTATTCAATTTCTAATAGCTTCATTGGGAGCTGGAGAAATGGATCAACAGTTATGAGCACTTCCAACTCTTATAGGATAGCAGATTTGGTTCCCAGCACCCAAATGGAAGCTCATAATTGTCTTTTTATAACTCCAGTTCCAGGGGATCTAGGACCTTCTTCTGGCATCCATGGGCACCAAGCACACACATGGTGCACATACATACATGTAGGCAAACACTCACACACATAAAATATAAATAATACATCTTTAAGAGCTTATCTTGCTCAAACAAGTTCCTTGGCTGTTTCCTGTAAATACTTAGATGAGTTTCATTACAACATTTACTATACAGCAGTCTGAACAGTGCATTTGCAGACACTTGTACTTTTATAGTTGCGTGATTATTTCCTTAGGGTAGATTCTTGGAGCTTTGTTAGGTCAGTTGGGAAGCCAGTAGCTGTGGACATAGCTTGGGGACCTTTGCAATGGATCTGTGATGTTGAAATCTTGTGGCTAAAGTGTGAAGCCATGTAGGCAGGTTTGTCAGCGCCATGGTATGCATGGCACTTCTTGTGTATGCAGGAACTACAGATAGATAGACACTAGCCATTTATTAATGCACTTTCCCAAATGGAAATATGATATGCTTTTCAGTACATGCAATTACATGCTTTGTTAGTCATTGAATAGAGTCAAAAATTTCACAGTAAACACTTAACGTGGGAAAAAGAAAGCAGTAATCATGATTATTGTCTAGAACACTGAAAAATGATACCAAATTACTGAGATGTTCTAATTTGTCTTAAAAGTATGTCTTTTTTTTGATGATATCTTTCTAAACATTTAAAGCACTGGAAATGCACTGTGCTATTTCAACAAACCTACTGGAGATTATATATATTATATACATTGCTAATATGCTAAAGAATCTCTCTGTGTGGCTTCTCAAATTGCTTTTTGCTTGTGCTTGAAAGTTTTTCTCTCCACAAGTAGAGTTTCCCTGAACCAGACTGTATGTATGTATGTATGTATGTATGTATGTACATTCGTACATCCATACGTTTATGTGTCTGTCATATAATATCTAAAATGAAAATGAAGCTTGGTCCTCTAGCATCCATAGGGTGCCATTCCCCTCCCCTTGGAGGCCCCAGTAGAGGCCTCGGGGCTTGTGGGTTGTGACAACACATGGCTGAAGGTCCTCGTGTCAGCTATGTGCTTGCCTTCACATCTGCAGATCAGTTAAAAACAGAAGGCAAAGGCTCCTCCTCCTCTGTTGTTGCTAGGTCCATACACCATGAGGACTTTTATCTTCTGCACAGTGTAGGTGCCCTGAAATTGTTGACATTCCTCGTTTCCTGTCAGGGCTTAGCAGTCAATCATTTGTACTGGGACACTATGGTGTACTGAAAGTGAACACTATTCTCCACAGAGAGCTTTAGTCTTGACTTCTTGATGACTGTTGCCTTCTATCATGCTAAACCTTGATTTATTTGTTATTTGGCTGACAGGAACCGTTCAAAGGAAAATGAGGAGTCTAAGAAACAAGGCTCAGAGAACCTCCGGAGGCACGAGGAGTTTCGGACTCAGCTTTGTGATTGCTTGAGTCTAGACAGGAAGTGTGAGGAGGCATCGGACGAAGATTTCATCTTAAAGGTACTTGCATGCAGGTTAAAGGCACTATAAACATGGGGTCATCCTGGCATGCGATAGGAAAGGAAGTGCTGTGGCTAAGTCTAGGGGTGACAGGAGACCAGGAGTAGACCAAAGGTTGTGTGTTATAGTTTCTATTGCTGCAACAAAAACACCACGCCCAAAATAGCTGGCTGGGGAAGAAAGGGTTAATTCAGCTTACACTTCCAGATCACAGTCCATCTTTGGAGGAAGTCAGGACAGGAACTCAAGCAGGACTGGACCGTGGAGGCAGGAGCTGATGCAGAGGCCATGGCGGTTGCTGCTTACTGGCTTGCTTCCTCATGGCTTGCTCGGCCTGCTTTCTTATAGAACCCAGGACCACCAGCCCGGGGATGGCTCCGCCCACCACTGCCTGGGACTGCCCCCACTGATCAGTAATTGAGAAAATATCTTATAGTTGGATCTCATGGAGGCATTTCCTCAGCTGAGACTCCTTTTTCTCTGATGACTCTAGCTTGTGTCAGGTTGACACAAAGCCAGCCAGTTCAGGTAACATTAATTAATGGTATAGAACAGGATAGACCACAACACTTCTATAAGCTTCAAGTCTAGGATCTTTTGCTAGTGTTGAGATTAATTATTGTCTAAAAGGAATTATGTGATCTAAAATACATTTAGATATTCAAATACAATTAATTATCTCATGATACGTTTGTGCATAGTTAAAATGCACACACAAAATCAGGTATATAAACATTAGTATTTTAGTTTTCACTAGTATTTTTAAATGAACGTGCACAGCATTAGATTTAATTATGCATTTTTAAGTACAATGATTTGTTGAGTATCCTTCCTTCTGTTTTCCCCCACGTTCCCATCATACCCTGTACCCTTCAAAGATGAGATCAGGGTAGAGGACACACACGCTGCAGAAATTTTAATTCCCAATCTGTGGCATTCTATCCTGCCTTTAACCATTTAGTGCCCAGATAAAAGACACAGACAACCTTTATATTTACAATAAACCTTAATCAGCCCCAGAGCTGGGCAGATATCTACCCTCTATATTATCAGGATCTACGTTCCTATTGATAACCCTGAGTTACTACGTACTATGTTTCATCTGGGCTGCTCTAAACTCCAATTGACCAGCAGTCCTCAGGGCCACGTTTTCAGGACTCACCTACCCCATGGTGGCTTCTCCTCCATTCCTTTCTTCTCCACCTGGTCTCTCCTCCTTTCTTTCTCTTCTCCATCCCCAACCAGGTCACTCAAAACTCAGCTACCTCTAATCCCTCCAGTAATTGGCTGTAGCCAATTACATTTAGCAATAGTTTTAAGTCACGGGACAAGATTTGTACAACAGAAGCTCGTAAACGTGAGAATCACCAGTAGGCCTACAGCTTCCTTTTGGGTACAGAATTTAACATTACCATACAAACCTCAGCACACACGTAACATGAAGTGGAAAGACAAAGGCTGTGCTTTGATTACCACACAGGCTGCTGCCCTCTTGTAGTAAGTATATGCTTAGTAAAATCCTCCTTGCAACTCTGCATCCTTCCATCCTTAGTGAGTAAAACACTAGTCTTAGTTCCAAAGTACTTTTAACCTTTCCATTAGAACTCGTAAGACCTTATTCGTGGCTGATGGCTATGAAGTGTGGACACTGAGGATTTTAGTGGGATACTTGCCTTGGTACATAGTGATCCATTCAGGTCCTTCCCATTCTGCTCATTCATAAACATTCCGTGCCCTTGTTTCCTGGCAGATGTTCATACAGCCATTCTTAAAAGTCACCGCCCAGTTGGCCACTAGTCAGTTCATGCAGTGTTTCTCTGCAAGCTGATTCATTTGGTTTAGAGTCCACCGTATGGAGTCGGGGCTAGAGTGCCAGGTACCCCCATGGGTGCTGAATGGTCCTAGTTAATATAGGACCAGGAGCTTGTCTGCACAACTCCACTTCTCTGTGTGGTTTGGGACTCATGAGTGTCTCAGGCCAAGTGGCAGGCAGAGCGGAAGGGAACTTTGAAACGCCACCCTTGGGAATCCCTTCCCTCCACTAGTGACAGCCTAAGCGCACGTCAGGAGCATCTCTGTTAATCTTGCTCTTTTATTTCCTGCATTCCCAATGCTTTGTCCTCTGGCCCTTATTTTACTGGGAGAGCCCATGCCTTCCAGTAATGGTAAATGGTAGTTGACTCCCTCCCTCTCCATTCTCCTCTCCCCAACCCCTCCTCCCATTCTCCTCAGAAAAGGGGAAGCCTACCCTGGATATCAACCAGCCCTGGCATATCACGTTGCAGTACAACTGGATGCACCATCTCCTGAAGCTAGATGAGGCAGCCCTGTAGGAGGAAGGGGTCCCAAAGGCAGACAACAGAGTCAGAGACAGCATCTGCTGTTAGAAGTCCTCCTTGAAGACTAAGTTACAGAACTGTAGTATATTCACACTGACCACTTCCACAGGTGGTCAAACCACACAGGCTGACCATGCTACCTGCAGGTTCAAGTCCTGCTACGGCACTGTCATGGCTCTGCAGAGCAGGCTTATCTATATGGCCAGTAACTTTTACAAATGCACACAGTGAACATTTTAGAATGTGTGTCATGGAAAGCAAAAAGTCCCATGAATGTCAACGCCCACGACAGCTACGTTTTTAGCCTGCTCCATTGTGTGCTTATAGTTACTTAGATATTTGTAAAAACAACTGTTCTGTTTTCTCCGAAGTGGCCCCCATGCCAGCACCTGGCACACAGTAGGTGCAATTGGATGTGGGCTGAGGGCAGCTTGGTCAGTAGCCTTTGACATCCCCTCAGCATACCATGTCACCTTCAGCACGCTGCAGTCAGGGCTCCCCCCAGCTATCACACCTCCCATCATCCTTGCCTTGTGGCCCCCTTCGAATAATCTTAATTTGACTGTGGAATCTGCAGATAACGGCCTTTGGAGGCTGCCTTTGAAAATGTGAGCGGATCTGTTGTTTTTATTGTTTAGTCAGGTCACAACCTCTTTAGACTATAGACTGTGAGCTGTTTGGAGAGAGTGGATGGAATTGTCCCGTTTTATTTTGTTTTCCCCTCATTCTACCATGGCTGTGATTTTTTTCTTTTCTCTTCAGCTTAGAGAGCTGTGCAAGGAAAACACATTCCTGAAAGGACAACTCACTACTCTTGAAGAGACTGTAACTGTCCATGAGATGGAGGCAAAGGCTAACAGAGAAACAATCATGAGGCTGGCAGCTGAAGTCAGCAGGGAGCAGACAAAAGCTGCCTCCTGGGCCGAGGAGAAGGATAAGCTGAATCAGGTACCGTGTGCTGAAGGTTCCCCTGTGCCCACTCACAGAGCAGAAATGGAGGAGCAGATGTCTTGAGCCCCTCCCGAAAAGATGGGCTACAGTTTCAAATGCTGCTCTCAGTGTAGGGGTGGGGGCACTGTGTGTGTGTGTGAGACCCAAGTAAGACATGTGACATTTGATACATGCTTTTTACACATAGATATATATTTCTTTTGTTGTTGCTGTTGTTTTTGGGTTTTTTTCAAGACAGGGTTTTTCTGTGTAGTCTGGGCTGTCCTGTAACTCACTCTGTAGACCAGGCTGGCCTCAAAGTCAGAGATTTACTTGTCTCTGTCTCCCAAGTGCTGCGATTAAAGGCATGTGTCACCACCACCGCCCGGTTAGACATATAGTTCTAATTGCGAAAAAGAAATACAAAATACTTTAAAGGATTTGGAGACAGGATGGCTTACTTTGGTTAGATAATAAGAATGTTTTTCACTTTCAACTCTTATGTTTTGAGCACGTAGGTTGTAAGTTTAAAAGATACAGAATTCTTTTTTTTTTTTTTTTTTTGGTTTTTCAAGACAGGGTTTCTCTGTGTAGCCCTGGCTGTTCTGGAACTCACTCTGTAGACCAGGCTGGCCTCGAACTCAAGAGATCCACCTGCCTCTGCCTCCCAAGTGCTGGGATTAAAGGCGTGTGCCACCGCTGCCCGGCAAGATACAGAATTCTTATTGTACAGAAGATATTAAATGGCTACTCCTCCCCTTCCTCCCTCTCCCTAGCCATTCACTTCTCCTCTTTTTTATTTAATTAGTTTGTGTGTGTATGTTTGAGTGGTGTGCACACATGCACATACACACATACCTGCCTTTATATGCACAAGTGGAAGCCAGAGATTGGGTGTTTTCCCGTTTCTCTCCACCTCAGTTTTTGAGACACGGTGTCCATCCAGGAGCTCACTAACTAGCCAAACTGTGTGGTCAGAAGGTTTTCAGAATCCTGTTTTCACCTCTGGGATTATAGTGGTGTTCTCCCTCTCTCTCTTCCTGTCTCCTTGTCTCCCTGTCTCTCTCCCTCTGTCTGTCTGTCTGTCTGTCTTTCCTTCCCTCCCCTTCTCTCCTTGCTGCCCCCCTCCCCTATGCACACTTGGCATTTTTCACAGATGTTGGGATCCAAATGTAAATCCTCATGTTTATGCGGAAGCAATCTGAGCAATCCTAGCCTTTATAAAAAACACGTGTAAAAAATATCAATCTTTCTGGAACTAGTCAATGTACATGTATATATGTATATATATATATTATACACACATATATTTTATAATATATAAAATTATATGCCTTCTATGTATCATATATATATATGTTTACTTTTAATAAAATGACAATATACTACACACTGTTATCAATAAGGTGATTATGAAGAATTTATCAGTCGCTTTTCTGTCGCTGTGATAGAACACCCTAACAAAAAGTAATTTTTCGAGGAAAGCGTTTATTTTGGCTTACAGTTCCACATGAGATACGGTCCATGATGGCAGAGAGCGCTTGGCAGCAGGAGTCTGAGGCCACCTGGTGGTCAGAAGGAAAACTGATCGTATTTCATCCACACATAGGAAGCAGAAAGAGGAAACAGGAAGTAGGGCCAACTAAACTTCAAATCCCACCCCCAGTGACATACTTCCTCCAGGAGGGCTCCGTAACCTCCCCAAACAGTACCGTCAACTGGGGACCAAGTGTGGAAATAGAGGAGCCTACGAGGGTCATTTCTCATGTAAACTGCAACAATCCTATATAACTTTTCACGTGTCACCTGTCACATAAAGCAAAATCCTAGAAGACTGGATGGATCCAACTGTGTGGATGCAGTAATTCTGAGAGGTGTCATGACTCTTTTTTTTTTTTTTTTTTTTTTGGTTTTTCGAGACAGGGTTTCTCTGTGTAGCCCTGGTTGTCCTGGAACTCACTCTGTGGATCAGGCTAGCCTCGAACTCTCGAACTCAGAAATCCACCTGCCTCTGCCTCCCAAGTGCTGGGATTAAAGGTGTGCGCCACCACCACCCGGCAAGACATGACTCTTAATTATAAACTTTTATTTGGATAATGGATGGCTTGATCTTTTCCAACTAGCTAGCCCTTGTTTGAATGTGAGACTAAACACCATTTGTTTAACAGTGTACAAACTTTTAATGTGTTTTAAATTGTGTGACAAAGAGTCATTATTAGATTAATAATAACTATTCTCTTCCAAAAGCTAAAGAAAGCTGATACAGCCAGTTAGGGAAAGTGCAGTGACTCTAGTCATAGACTGAAACATTCTGATTAGGCGGTGACAGGGTGTTCCAGAGAGGCTCCATGACAGAGGAGGACCAACGATCTTCTTCCTCACAGTGTCGTTAGCCACAGCAACATCACTGGGTCTGACAGTGGTCTATAGTAATGATAATTTCTGATTATTTCCAGCTCTCTGAATGAGCTTTGCTCCTCTCCCCTCCCCTCTTCACTGCCCTCCCACACCCCCATAAAAGTAAAGACTATCACTATCATCAGCATCCTGTCATGGATAGCTTGTGCTGCTACAACCTAGTGCCACAGGCTTGGCTGGGGATCCAGCAGAGTGAGAACCTTAGAGTCCAGCATGTGCAAGGCCTTGGGTTCAATTCTCAGTAACACCAAACTAAAAGAAAATAAAAATTAGAAAAACCTGGAGTGGGTGGCTTAAACAATAGTAAGCCAACCGGAAATGTGAAGTCGGGTGCTGGCACGGCTCAGGTCCTTTTCCTGGCTTATAAATGTCATCTTTCCGATGTGCCTCACATGGCTGAGGGAGAGGAAAGAGGAGGGGGAAAGGGATGGCGCAAGGTGGAGTGAAGGAGAGAAGGAAAGAGAGAGCAGTGGGAGGGAGGGAGAGGGGCAGGTGGATGGATAGATGATAGACAGGCAGATAGATAGCTTGGTTGATAGATATTGGTTGATAGCATTTGCTATGTTACTCCAGGTTGGCCTCAGATCTATAGCAGTCCTCCTGCCTCAGCTTTCCAAAGGCTGAGATTATAGGCATATGCCACTATACTGGCCTGGTCCCTATATGTATAGTGCAACAATATATAATAAATATATCATATATAATTAACATATATATATATATATATTTTAATTTTTCTGTAGCTACCTGAGATATCTCTTTGGGTCACAATTATGAGGTCATTCCTTTCTTTTTTGCTTGTAGTGCTGGGACCTCCTGCATGTCAGGTAAGAGGTCTACCATGAAGCTGTATTTTTATCTTTGCTCTTTAGGACGTTAGCATTCATCAAATCTGGCCTGCGTTAACTACCCCTCAGAAGTGCCAAAGTGACTACTTATATGCTTAGAATCCTACCTATATCAGTCTCTCTCTCTCTCTCTCTCTCTCTCTCTCTCCCTCTCCCTCTCCCGTCCCTTCATCCCTCTCTTGCTTGCTACCTTGTTTTTCTTAAAGGATCCACAGTCCAGAATAAATCTCTGGATACATGTGTGCTCAGTTGTTATAACTCTATTAAAAACAGTTTATTTTTCATTCTTTTTTGTTTGTTTGTTTTGTTTTTTCGAGACAGGGTTTCTCTGTGTAGCCCTGCCTGTCCTGGAACTCACTCTGTAGACCAGGCTGGCCTCGAACTCAGAAATCCACCTGCCTCTGCCTCCCAAGTGCTGGGATTAAAGGCGTGCGCCACCACCGCCCGGCAATTTTTCACTCTTACACATCTATTTTCTTTGTTTTGCTGTCTAACAGTCCATTTGTTTTTTTGGTGTTCTAAGTTCTTTGAACTTTCTGCATCTGGAGCTCCTTTGAGGAGGCCCTGTGACCTGCCCTGCAACATTGTCATGCTTCCTTGCTTTTAGGACAGAGGCACTGTCCCAGGCCCACTTGCAGTTTTCACGTTGCCAGTCCAAACCACTCAGTTCCCTAAACAGCTTAGGTTCTACTTGTCAAGGGATGGTGCTTAGGGACCACACTTTAGCATGGAGGTGTGCTCCCTTCCTGTATCCTTACCGTGATCACAGTGATGGTGCTAACTGCTCGGGAAGTTGTATGGATTCAAGCGCATCCAGTTATGTTGCAAGGCTGGGACCTGAGCCCACATCACCATATTCTCTGCCTCCTATCAACCATCCGATTTGTATGACTGTCACAGCATCATAGGAGGGTGTTGGCAGGGGTCATTTGTTAGTGGAAGAGCAATAACAAACAGCCATGCAATTCTCTTGATGAGTATCAACTTTCAGAAAGCATCTCTGGACGTTAGTAGGAAATTACCGAGAAAGCATGTTGTAATATGACATGAAACAGGAAAAAAAAACCCAATTTCTTTTCTTATATAAGTGTTTTTGCTTGGGAGTAACTCTTGAAACTCATCCACTTTGGCTACGGGTTCCTGCCAACATCATAAAAATTGTAAAATAAAAATTTGAGCAATAAAAACCTGAGGTCTTTAATAAAGTGCTCATTCATAGAACTATTTATTACTCCGATGATTTACTATAAAAAAAAAATGCTGTCAAGAGCTTTTCCTGACATGTTGATGGCTTCAGCAAGAACCTCCAGACTGCTTTCCAATGCTCTGCTTTTGAGGTAGGAAACTTTATTTTTTATTAAAGTCCAGATGTATGTAAGGGGCAAAAGTGGTCACACAGCTGGGATGCCTGTGTCTACAAAACTTGGCTTTATTGCTTTGCTTAAATTTAAAAGAGTATGGTAGCACACTCTTTTAATCTCAGAATTCAAGAGGCAGAGTCAGGAGGATCTCTGAATTAGAGTTCAGACTGGTCTATACAGGCCAGCCAGGCTACAGTGTAAGACCCTCTCTCAAAAAAAAAAAAAATCCAGGTGTTTTATTACAGGTAAATCTATTATTTGGAAATCTTTAGCAGAACCTCCTATAGGGAGTAGTTCTATTAAGAGGTGTGGCCTTGCTGGAGGAAGTGTGCCATTATGCGGACAGGCTTGGAGGTCTCCTATGCTCAAGCTATGCTCAGTGTGGTACACA